ATACAGTATTCACAAATAGAGAAATGATTTATGTAAGTAGTCTTCTCTTATTTGTTACAATTTTGCCAAGATGTTATAGTATAAACTTGACTATTTATTCTACGTAAAATATCAAAAAAATTAAGATTTTCTCCCCAAGTAATTTATGTATCTGCAATATCATGTTAGCTATGATACTATTAAAATTTGGAATTAAATACTTTTTGAAGGATAAAATAACTGTGGGCAAAGCTACCTAAAATTTACTGCTTTCAAAGAGAGTTAACATCAATAAGAAGCAGTCTTTACCAAAGTGGGAGTTTCACAGCTTAAATCTGAAAAGGAACTATCAAACATTTTTTATTCTCTTGGATACAGTATAAATTAGTTAAGACATAATTACAACTAATAATTGTTACTATTACTATAGTAGCTTCATTTATAAAATATTACTTCTTCCCTAATTAAATGAAGCATTCAGTTCTTCACATAAGCAATTAAAATATTATGTAGTTACATTATGCATCTCAAAATGTGAAAACCAAGAATAATAAGCCAGATAATACAAAAGAAAAACAGCGATATGAAATGAGCTAAGGCAAAAACAAGCAAGGTGAAACACATTTAAACCAAAACTTTTCTGAAAAATTGAGATATTCAAGAGGTCAATCAAGCATGTACACAGAATCAGGTGGTATCAAATCTAACAGCCAAATATAGGGTAGCCCAGTCTAACAACCAGATGATACAGTGGATTGACTGATTCAAGTTTAGAGAGAGCAGAGATATACTTGAGAGCACTTTTTCGGGACTAAGTTATAACTTTCAAGGTGAAGAAGTAATCATGAGACTAGAACCCTGTGTAAGGCAGGTATGGGAGACACATAAATAAAGCTGAGTGGCAAAATATCACCATGGTACACACAACATCCTATTCTACCTGTATCATTTAAGGTACCAGAAGATAAACATCTGCAACCTATTAAGAAAGCAAGAAACAAACCTGGAAATAAAAGGCTAGAAGGAAGGCTATATCCAGTGTCTGGGGTATTTGTGAAATAAAACAGGATAATACCTCACTTCATTTCTGGAAAGTCTAAATCCAATTACTTAAAAAAAAAAACTCACTATAGACAATATTAACAAATATTTATCTTTCTTCTTTTTGAAATCACTCTTCCTTAACCCTCTGTCATCTAGTTAACAGTAAAACATTTCTTTGAAAGGTCACTAAAAATCTAATAAGTACTACATTAATAGGCATGTCTTCATCCTCAAGTTTTTTACCTGTACCATGATATTATAGATCACCTCTTTTTGACAATTTTACTTTGGTTCTACAACATTGTACTATCTTAATCTTCACCTAATCCCTTCAAGCGTTTTTGTTTCCTTTGGTTTCTTCATTTACCAATATATTTTCCATAGGTATTTAATTATAAAGTGTAACAAAGTCTAAAGTGATTTTAGTGCCTCTGACATCTTTTTCAACAAGCCAAGGACCTTAATACGCACTTCTAGGTTAGTTTTTTTCCCCTCAGCATTTAGAATATATGATTCTATTCTCCATGACACTTGTGATTTTAATTTTTGAGATGTCTGGAATTGTCCATCATAAGCTAGGTACTATCAGAGACTTCAACTCAAAATCAGACCGCCCAGCATAAATCAATAAAAAGATGATAATGGTACATCTGAAATACCAAGCACCAGAGGGTAAAAGCCTACATGAACAGGCAGCTCAGACACGCATGCCATTCAACAAGGTTGCCCCAAAACATCTCTCTCACTTCACTCCAATGGTTATGAAGGAATTACTGTATGGCCAGCTGAGGGAGGAGGAAAAATCCTGAGCTTTTATGGCAAGATTATGGATAAACTGGCTTGGTATGCAGGTACTAGTCAAAAATAAGAAGCAGCTGTGTAACAACATCACTCATAAAGTCATTGAATAACACCGGAGAAGAAAAATTTCCCCAAAAAGTGAAGCTCTGAGCAGTACACCTAGAGATCCACTTTGTATGAAGTTCTATACATTCCTTATGGCTGAAAGGTATAAAAGTCAGCTTTAAATTCTCTTTCTCATTTATTCTTATCAGTCTTAGTTTTAACATAACATAAAACTTAGTCAAGCCGCTTATGCAAAAGAAAAAGGGGGTGGGGGATTTTTGTGATAAGGATACAGGAATATTTTATAGAACTCCAAGGCAGGAATGAAACCAGGCCTATTGAAAAATTCTTAAAGAAGAGACTGAAATTGCATCTGGACTATTTCTCTATCTCATCTTTGATCCTCTTGGAAAGTATCATTGTCTCTCCCTTCTCTCTCTCTTTCTCACCACCTCCTCTACACTATTTCTATTCCTCTAGTAGAAAAAAGGCCAATCTAATATCTCCCAAGGTTTTATATAAATATACATATGAGTGTATGTCACAGCTCTGTCAACTGAGAGACCAATTTTTTTAATTTGGTGTAATTATAGATTCTCATGTCAAAAATTCCAACTGGTTCAACTGGAATTAGGTATCTATTCTTGGTACAATCAACTTGGTAGAGTCACCTTATTCAAAATAGTTGCTAGGGGCTCAGTCTTGACTGAGGGAGAACTGAGTTACTATGAGCTCGACAAATAGCTAGGATCCAATATCCTCTTCATTCATTCTCCCAATCATTCCAGCTGAAAACCTCCTAAGTCAGTTTAGGCTTATCCTTCTCTTTCATATACGATTAATATATAATTCTGTCACAAAGGATTAATTCATTCTTCTTTCAAAATACAGTATTATCTATTCCTTCTCTATTCTCACAGACTTTATTACTTGCCACAATGATAATTCAAAAAGATATTAAACTGTAGTTAAATTTGCATTTCTTAAACTACTGGTGAAGATAAACTAATTTTTTTCATCTTATAGATTGTTATTATTTGTTTTCTTGGTCTGTATTGTGAACTTTATTGTGTCTCCCAAAATTCGTATGTTGGAGTGCTAACTCCAATGTGACTGTATTTGGAACAGGGCTTTTAAGGAGGTAATTAAGGTTAAATGGAAGTCATAAAGGTGAAGCTTTAGGAAGAGACATCGGGGTGGTGGGCACAGAGGCAAGGCTATGTGAAGACATGGCAAGAAAGTAGCTGTCAGCAAGCAAACGCGAAAGGCCTTGGGGGAAACCAAACCTGCTGACACCTTAATCTTGGACTTCTAGCCCCCAGAACCGTGAGAAAATACATTTGTCCTATTTAAGTTTCAAAGTTTTTGATGCTTAAAGACCTTTGTTATGGCAGCAATGGTAATCTAGTACGGTTTGCCTCAGTGTTCATTATCTATTTTTCTTTTGAGATGTTTATTTCTTCTAGTAACAGCTCTCCAAGCATTAAGACTCTTAGCCCTTTATACACAGTAAACATTAACAACTATTTTTAGCAATTTATATGCCCCCACACCTTTGTTTGGTTTCATTTTGCTTTGAATATCTGATATTTTTTAAATATAGTCCAGTTTTCCAAACTTTTCCTTTATGGTTGCTGCATTTGAAATTATGGTTAAGTCCAGCCTTCCTATCAGCCAGAATATTTATATTTATATATACATTCATCCAACTATTCTTTTTGGTCTCATTTGAATTATTTTCAATGTATGATGTAAGATATAATTTTTTTAAATATAGCTTACCATTATCTTTGTACCATTTAATCACTTTTCCACTGATATGAAATGTTATCGTATACTAAATACACTTTGACATTTATTCATTCAGTAATTTATTTTGGAGGCTATATTCTTCCACATTTATCGTAAAGGAAAGATAATTTTTCACCAAGTTTAAGAAACATTATTTTGGGTGTCTTAAATCATAAAAGACTATGAGGGAAATTTCTTAACATTAGTTTTTAAATTAAAATTGTTTTCAGCTAACAATAAACAAAATGAATATACACAAAATTATGTTAATCCAGTGATGAGCCTAATTAAAGGAGGGGGTACCATCTGATTTAGTTGAATCACACTAATCAAAAAGAACAGAAAAAACAATGGTGAAGAAACTACAAGAGGACTGTCAGCTTTTTCAGGCTCCTTTTAAAAGAGCAGCTCTTGTCCTTCTAAAACTATTCAAAATTCTTTTTCCCCCTCGATTCGCTTGATAAAATTCAGATAGTAAAGGCCTATAATTCAGTGGGGCTATTTTTACAAAGATCATTGCTTACTGCCAGGAGAGTATCCAGAAGAAAAGAAGTTGAGGATTGTGTTCTGAGGTTCTCTCAAGAAAGGGGCACAGAGAAGCTCCCAGTTACACAGGCCGAGCAATGTCCATGTTGGACGTGCTTTGATACCACCTAAATCTCTCCTGTCCGAGTTCAAAGCCGGAACCATTCCAGGGTTTTTAGACGAAAAAAAAAAAATGGGGCGACATGAAAACGATGCCAAAGCCACAGCTATTATTACAAACATGCATTATTTTCACTCTTGCTTTCCATATGCAATGCACTCTACATACAGTGGGCACCGTATAAGCACATAGCAAATGTGAAAAATATTATCAACATTGCTTTAGGGAAGATGAAACTGAGATACGAGGAATCATAAACTGTCCAACATCACAGGGGCAAAAAGTTCACCTCAACAGAAGCCTCTCACGAACCACAAAAACGTAGCTGAGGAAGCCTAGAAAGGCTGTACCCCAAGTGGGGACGGTAAAGTCAAAAAACACAAGGGTGAGGTAATCACAGACCCGGGACAGAGAAATCTAAAAGCCCACTCGACCTCACTACGGCTATCGAACTTCCTCTGAGGTGCAGAGGCGCGGATGCGACACCCAGAAGTTGCGAGAAAGGGCAGAGCTAACTGATAAGGCCAGAGAAAGCCCGCTAAGATTTTTTTGAAGGCCGTAAGGTAAACATGTTAAAAACTATAACTACTCACTCTGCCTACACCTAGTGAAAAAGATGCGGCAAGATGAACAGGGCGTAGCTAGCGCCCGCCAGAAGCTCCGCGGCCTCCACACCCGTCCCAGCATACTTTGCGTCGCGCAGAGGCAAGCCCTGGCGCGCATTGGCCCCTTCGGCTGCCGTCTGCCGGTAGTTACTATGGAAACCCAGTGGCCATCGCTATGTCTCTGCAAAAGACTCCTCCGACCCGGGTGTTCGTGGAACTGGTTCCCTGGACTGATCGAGGCCGGGACAACAATCTGATCTCAGGCGGAGTGACGCAACCGGGCCTCCACCACCCCGTCTCCTCAACACAAGCCCAAACTGCGACCCGCGAGGTGCACGTAAGCGGCACCTCAGAAGTGTCTGCGGGCCCCGATCGGGCTCAGGTGGCGGTGCGAGTGAGCAGCACCAAGGAGGTGGCGGCCGAGGCCAAAAAGAGCGTTTGTCGCCGTCTAGATTACATCACACAGAGCCTCCAGCAGCAGGGCGTGCAGGTGAGATTTCCGTGGGGGGAGGAAATACGAGCCAGACGACACAAAAGTCTTGGCAGATGGCCGGGCCCGATGGGCCCCTCAAGCGGGAAGGGAGATGTGGAGGGTCTGGAGCGTTTAGGACATCTTTGTCGCAAAGGTATTCCGGGACGCCAGGACCTGGCAGAGTGAATATTTGACCCATTCTTCTAGATGAAGGTAATTATTGGCCACAGGGAAATTAAAAGAATGCAAATTGGGTAGGTTTTTATCTGGCGATATTTGCTTCAGTGATTTTGTTTTTAAATTTGAAGTGATTAAATGTTAAAACTTGAAATGTTAGTTGTAATACTGCCCAAGTGGAGTGCTGGACACTAAATATTTTGTTTTGTTTTTATTCTGCTCCATGGAATTGGCAAGTGAAGAGCATGACCTGCTTCCTTCCAGTCTTGTAAAACTGCATGGAATGGTTCTTGAGTATGTTCCGCAAACAGTAACGTTGGGAAGTGGGAAAGAAGTTGCGTCCATTTTCATTTTATAATGATTTCCCCAAAATTTCTCTGGCCTTTTTAGATTTAACTTTTAAAAAAAGTCAAGCCAGTATTGTAGATGCCACATATATGAAATATTTCTACTTAGTTAGCGGAGATGTGCATGAGTCAAATCACTAAACAAATCTTACCTTAACCCTACTTCTGAGGAAAGAAGAAGAAAAAAAAAAGCCATCATTTAATCCACACAATAGCACTTTTAGGCATGTTTTAATATCCCTATTTTCCAAATTTAAAGAGGTTAAACAATGCTCTGAACTTTAGTTAGAGCAATATTTGAACTCATGTATTCCTGAAACCAGAATGTAAGTTGCTTCCAATTCTGCCAGACTCCAGATAATTAGAATGAAAAAAAAAAGTTAGAAATCATAAAGGTCTGCTAGTTCAGTTTTCTCATTTTACAGAGTGGGACCCCAAAGGTCAGAGTTGTGACTTATCCTAGATGACACTGAGCTGGTAAAAGTGTAGACATTGTTTCTTTCAGTTTATTGCAAGAAATGTCTTACCCAAAAAAGCAAGTCCTTATTTTTAATAAGAAAAGATAGTTGCATTCCGTTTATAATACAAACATATGAGTTATTACAAAGTCATTTAGACAAGATTTCTTCAAATGATTTTACCAATTTAGAAAAATTCCAATAATTATGAGTAAAATGGGTTTGATATGTAGAAAAATAGTTCTGAAAAACTGCTACTAGTGCTGTCGTCCTGTTTGAATAATATAGCAAGTTTTTAAGTTATTTACACAAAATAAAAATTGAGCTCACAAGGCTCTGATTTATATAAAACAACGCAGGCTGGGCACTGTGACTCAACACCTGTAATGCCAACACTTTGGGAGGCCAAGGCACGTGGATCACTTGAGGCCAGGAGTTCAAAACCAGCCTGGCCAACATGGGGAAACCCCATCTCTACTAAAAATACAGAAACTAGTTGGGCATGGTGGCACACTCCTGTAATCCCAGCTACTAGGGTGACTGAGGCAGGAGAATCTCTTGAACCCAGGAGGCGAAGGTTGCAGTGAGCCAAGATGGTGCCACTGCACTCCAGCTTGGGCAACAGAGAGACTGTCTCAAATAAACAAGTAAATAAATGACTAAGTCCCACTTACAGTAATTACATTAAGATTCAATGTTAAGGGAAGACATAGGAAGGATAGCAACTTCCTGATTATCTCTGCTAATGCATCAAAGCAGTCATGTAGATAATTTGTTCAGTAGATAATACAAAATATCACTTATATTTTCAGGATGAATTATGGGTCTTCACGAAGTCCTTATTCATTTTAAACTTTGGAATCCTGAGTTGTAAGGTTTATAAACATCACTTCTCTGCTTAAAGGGCTCCTCATAATCCAGACTCCTTTGCTTAAAAGATGGAGCCTCACTCTCTATCCTCATTTCCTATTATCTCCCTCACCTCTGTTGTATTTTTCTTTAAGCATTAGCCCAAGCCTGAGCTATGGAAATAAGACCCTGTCTCAAAAAAACAGAATTAGCCCAAATTCACCTTCTTGGCATTCCTTTCCTAATATAACACTAACCCCTCCCAAACAACACTTCACTCCCTATACTTGTAATAAAAACTTATCATCATTCTTAATTTGCTTGTCTCTTCTCCATATTTCTAAACTTTTCCAGAGCCAAGACCATTTGTTCTTTTTTTGCATTCATGAGTTATGTTTTAAATACATCACATAACATATACTCAGAAAATGCCTTCTGAATGAATATTTTTAAAAAATGAAACACTAAGTGAACAAATTATTCAGCTATGTTATAGATCATAGATTTATGAACTTGTCTGAAGGTATAATCTTTACTTCTAGTGTAGTTTTCATTGAAAAGTGTTTTAAAGTTCTAAGCAGTATTTACTCATTCAACAAACAAACATTAAGCATTTCATTTTTTTGAGATGGAGTTTCACTTTTATCACCCAGGCTGGAGTGCAATGGCACGTTCTAGGCTCACTGCAACCTCCGCCTCCTGGGTTCAAGCAATTCTCCTGCCTCAGCCTCCCGGTAGCTGGGATTACAGGTACCTGCAACCACGCCCAGCTAATTTTTGTATTTTTAGTAGAGACAGGATTTCACCATGTTGGCCAGGCTCTTCTCAAACCTCTGACCTCAAGTGATCCACCCACCTCGGCTTCCCAAACTGCTGGGATTCTGTACACGCATGAGCCACTACGCCCAGCCCATTGTTCATTTTCAAGCAGCACTTAATATTGTCTTAGTTTTTTTGGTCTGCTATAATGAAAAATCATAGACTTGGGGAGCTTATAAACAACAGAAATTTATGTCTTACAGTCCTGGAAGCTGGGCATCCAAGATCAAGGAGCTACTAGATTCGGTATATAGTGAATGGTAGCAAGAATTACCCTGATAGCTCTGCTTCCCCTTTATTTGCTTCTCTCTCCTACTCTAGGCATAAAATGACCTCACAATGTCTGGTCCTCCCTTCACAAAAGTGTTTCCATCACTCAGGATGCATATCTAAGTTCTAGTGCAAAAGAGGACTATGAGTATATGCTGAAGGGACTGTTTAACTTCTTTAACACGTTACAGTATGAGCAACACTAACGTAAGATTCCTCTAACAGAGTGCAGCTAAAAGAGAGACCCTTTTCTCCTTTTTGCTTCACAAAAGACCACCTCAGCCACCATGACACCACCAGCAGGAGGTATTGTCCACAGGAGCAGCAGAAGAGAACTTACCTTATATCATGAAATATCAAGACATACAGTTCTTGCAATGGACCACATGTCTGTGTCCCCACAAAACTTGTATGTTAAAACCTAATCCCAAGTATGATGGTATTCATAGGTGAGGCTTTTAGGAGGTAATTGGGATGTGAGGATAGGGCTGTTTATAGATGAGAACTCCCAAGACCAGAGTGATTATTGGCAGGTTGCTTGCCCACGGTCACACTGGGAAGTGGCAAAATTTTAACCTTAGGGTCCATGCTCTTAACCACTACAGGATGTTGCTTCTGTATTCTCTTGACAGTGGATAACGGAGATTTTAGGTAGGGAAGATGTAGCTGATGCAATTGATACCACTACTTACATCCTTTGGCACTTCACATTTGTGTGCATGCAGGCCCAGCTTCCATCTGCCAACATTTGTAAATTCTTTGCCTGAAAGTGAAAGCTCTCCCTGGCTACAAGAATCCACTCTGTCTGCAAATGGGGCCAGAGTGTAATGCCAGGGAGTTAAAGTCCTCTCCCCCAGCCCCAGCAGCCTTCATCTGAAGGCTAATGTGGAACTAGAATGACTGAGGGAACGAATGGAAAGATAACCCAGCATCTTCACCTCTTGGGGTAGGATAATTCTGAGGTATGTGTTCCACCCTGGTTCCTAGAATTTCTCTGCAGGATTAAATTTGAGTTGAGAACAGCAGTGATTTGCTTGACAACACATCTTTTAGTGTCTTTCTTTTCTGTCTTGCATACCACTCTGTTAATGGTGTTTTTTGGAATCATCAAAATTAACTGTATGCAAATCTTTTTCTTAGGATCTGTTTCTAGGGGCACCAAGGTTAAGATAAGAAGTAGGGCAACAAATTGAACATAGGCATGGCTACAGTTTTTCATTATTAAAAATGGTCCCAACATGAATGTCCTTGTAAGCTACATATTTATACATGTCCTTATACATGTATAATTGTAATTATACAATTACAGGTTGAGTAGCCCTTATCCAAAATGCTTTACCAGAAACATTTTCAATTTCGGAAGTTGGGGATTTTGGAATATTTACATTTTATATATGCCAGTGGAGTATTTGTACTCTGGAAATCGAAAATTCAAAATGTTCCAGTTTTCCTTGAGTGTCATGTTGGCACTCAAAAACTTTCAGATTTTGGAGATTTTGGATTTTCAGATTAGGAATCCTCAACTGGTAATGTTCTTTGAACATTAAATCCTGGATTATGTATATTTGAAGGCTTATGAAAAATTATACTCTAAAAACATATGTTTATATCTTCATTTGGCACAGTAGGCATTATTCTGTAATTTTGTCAACTTAGTAGTTCAAAAAATGATACTGTCATTTCTTTTTTCTTCATCATTTGAACTTTTTGAATATAAACTTCTAGTTCAAAATATTTTGCCCATTTTTCTATTGCCTTTACCTTATTAAAATTATAAGAACCTTAAAAATTAAGATTACAAATAACCTGGCCAGGCTCGGTGGCTCGTGCCTGTAATCCCAGCACTTTGCGAGGCTGAGGCAGGTGGATCACTTGAGGTCAGGAATTTGAGGCCAGCCTGGCAAACATGGTGAATCTCCGTTTCTACTAAAAATACAAAAATTAGCTGGGCGTGGTGGTGGGCGCCAGCATTTCAGCTATTCAGGAGGCTGAGACAGGAAGAATCGCTTGAGCCAAGGAGGCAGAGGTTGCAGTGAGCCGAGATCACACCACTGCACTCCAGCCTGGGCAACGGAGTGAGACTCTATTTCAAAAAAAA